CGATCTCTTCTTTTGAAATTTTGTAACCATCCTTTTGTCACTTTGCTGCAATCTAGGGAAAAATTAATAAAAAAGTAAGTCTACTCTTGCCGGCAAAGGTATCTGAGGAAGGAACGTTATCTATTTTGTAAGAATACCTGAGTGAAAGAATGAAGACTAATCCACTGAGGTTAGTGACAGCTTTAATCGCATAATTTTCAGATTCTGCTTCCTCTGCTTATGATAATTCACTAGTGCTGGCGCACCACTTTCAGGCCCTCCCAGGGTAACCAGTGCTCTCACAAACATGTGTCTAGGAAAACCTAGAGAGACCACTTGGGGGTGGATTTCACAAGATTACTCTCATCTTCTCTGGTCACAGTGCCACTGTCCCCTGTGGTCCTTGAGAGTCCTCCTCCTGCTCTCTACAATCACACCTGGCCAAGCGAGGATAACACATGAGAATTTCTGGGGGGAAAGGTCTCGGTAGGAAGTCAGACAAAGAAAACAAGGCACCCTGCCTAGAAAGAGGTGCCGTTCAAAGTCTCCAGATTTGGGGTCTCTAAAGCGCCCACTGACCTCTTCTTGTTCAGTTGCCTTATTGGGTGTCGTCTAAGTGTCCTTCACAATTCCTGGCAGCAAGGTGGGTCTCGGTCCCATTTGGGGCCCTGCCCTCCTCTCCAGCAGGCTTTCCTGTGGGAGAGGAAGGACCAGCCCACGTCCCACAAAAGTGACTCCAGGCTTCCTCATCCCTCAGTCAGAGAGTCTTGTTAAACAGAAGACTTCACGTCTCAGATAAAATCGGTGTTTTAGTATTACTGTTGTAGTATGTTTTAATAATATGTTATACTATATTCATGTGGACATGAATATATCTCCCCCATCCCTTTGATTAAAGGACCTGTCCAATGATACCCTCAAACAACAACAAAAAAACTTCCTTTAAGTACCCATGCTGTGGAAGGGATCAATAAACATATATAAATAAATGTTTGCTGGATATAATGAGTTGTGGTCTCTGAGCTGGCATCCCCATATATTGGTTTTATTTTCACTTACAATCTGAATTTTAAAAAATATAATATCTAATATTAGTCTTATACTTTACAAAGGCTAACTTATAAAATATATGAGTGTGCTAAGTGAAAAATAAAATAACATATCATGACCTATTAAGACAGATAGGCTCCATCAAGGGAAAAAGTCAATTAATGGCTGTTTAACTTCAATAACTAAATCTGCCACAAATTTGAAGGTTCGTGTTAATGTTTTCATATCCAGTTTGCAGAATGAAGCTCAATTTGGCATTTTCTGATTGTGCTCAAAGTAAACCTTGTATGATTCTTAAATCAGAATCAGTGGCCCGCAGGGTCAAGCATACCAAAGGTGCTTGATGGTTGTTTTTAAAATAAATGAGGAATTGTACATTATAACCTAATATATGGTGGACGGATAGTGTACAAAAGATTGGTTTCTAAAAGTTGGGGTACAATATGCTTCTATTATATTAAGTTAGAAGTTATACGAAACACAGGAGAAATATCTCCAGTTCTACTTCTTTCTGGGAGAAGAACTGAGAGAAGACAGTCACATTCAATTTGGGACATTCAAGGCACATCCAAATATGTAAAACAACAAAGGGATCCAACCAGTACATAATTTTGTGTGCTGTATGTCTATCTTCAAAAGTTGGTGCTATCTTATTTTAAAAGCAGGATTTCTGTTTGAGGCCCATTTCATGTTTCTGGTTTACAAAAAGGAAGTCACGGACAGCAAAGCAGAGCTCCTTTTCTACTTTGGTGTGAGGACAGGAGCCTGCAGCAATGAGGAGACCAGTCCCAGGCTATGTGGAACTGGGCTAAGGTAGGAAGAAACCAAATGTGTATTAAGCACCATCTAGAAGCCAGTTGCTTTGGTAAGTGCTGCTTCATTTAACCTTCCCCATGATGTTGTGAGGTAGTTATATTTTTCTCCACTTTACGCATGAGGAAACTACAGATGGAATGCTTTGTCCAAAGTCACACAGCAGTAAGTGGCAGCCAGACTTGCAACTCAAGGCCCCACCACCTTAACACGAATGATAGAAAGTCCGGATCATTGAGAAGTGTCTGTTCATATCCTTTGTCCACTTTTTGATGGGGTTGTTTCTTTCTTGTAAATTATATGTTTAAGTTCCTTGTAGATTCTGGATATTAGCCCTTTGTCAGACGGATAGATTGAAAAATTTTCTCCCATTCTGTAGGTTGCCCGTTCACTGTACTGATAGTTTCTTTTGCTGTGCAGATGCTTTTTAGTCTAATTAGATCCCATTTGTCAATTTATACGGCCAAAAAACATGAAAAAAAGCTCATCATGCAAATCAAAACAACAATGAGAAACCATCTTACACCAGTTAGAATGGTGATCATTAAAAAGTCAGGAAACAACAGGTGCTGGAGAGGATGTGGAGAAATAGGAACGTGTTTACACTGTTGGTGGGAGTGTAAATTACTTCACCATTGTGGAAGGCAGTGTGTCAATTCCCCAAGGATCTAGAACCAGAAATATCATTTCACCCAGCAATCCCATTACTGGGTATATACCCAAAGGATTATAAATCATTCTACTATAAAGACATGTGCACACGTATGTTTATTGCAGCACTATTCACAATAGCAAAGACTTGGAACCAACCCAAATGCCCATCAATGACAGACTAGATAAAGCGAATGTGGCACATATACACCATGGAATACTATGCAGCCATTAAAAAGGATGAGTTCATGTCCTTTGCAGGGACATGGATGTAGCTGGAAACCATCATTCTCAGCAAACTAACACAGGAACAGAAAACCAAACACTGCATGTTCTCGCTCATAAGTGGGAGTTGAACAATGAGAACACACGGACACAGGGAGGGGAACACACACCAGGGCCTGTTGGGGAGTGGGAGGCTAGGGGAGGGATAGCATTAGGAGAAACACCTAATGTAGATGACGGGTTGATGGGTGCAGCAAACCACCATAGCATGTGTATACCTATATAACAAACCTGAACATTCTGCACATGTACCCCAGAACTTAAAGTATAATTTAAAAAAAAAAAAAGAAAGAAAAGAAAAAGAAAAGAAAGTCCAGAAAAGAGAGTGTGTCCTGGGCTTGTGTGTCCTGGGCTTTACTAAGAACATAAAAAGAACCACTGTATTTTACAGTAGAATCAACTATTTAAATTGCCTCGGAGTTGGTAAGAGGGAGTCCTTGGGTTCTGATCTGAAATGGAAAAGGCTGTCTGTTTTCTTTATAATGAAATAGAGAATATGACTGAGTACATGTGCATCCCATTCTCCAGGACAAACTTTAGTTGCTATTGGTAGATATAAAGTAAGAATCAGCATTCCAGGTACGTTTTACAAGACTTTTTCCAGCCAGACTCTCTTTGCCTTGGGAGCAATTACAACCTTGACTTCTAGGATGGATACAGAGTGGCAAAACAGAGACAGTCACTGGAACAAAGGAGTCACAATATAATATTAGTTTTTGTCTTTTCAAAAACAGATTTTTGAAATAAACACTAATGAGAGATTTTATGTGGACCAGTTCATTTGTAACATAAGTTACTTTAAAGCACATCCAAACAGTGTTTTCAGAGATTATGAAAATTTTATTAATAAAGAAAATCAACATTACACATATCCCCTTTAAAAACAACCACCTCAAACATGTAGAAATGCTTTATTTCGTATTTGCTATTCGATCAATGTCAGAAAAATGAAACCACAACACCAAAGTACAGACCAGTATTTCTGAAGGGGATAATAATCATTTGAGATAATAAACTACTAGAAAATCAGAAGAAATGATTCAAGGTATTCATTTCAAAGGCTAAACCACTAATTCTCCATCCAAACAAATGTTTCCACTGTGAGTCAATACATTTGCCATCAGTTCTTTTTAATGCTATCCTGAATACACAATGTACACCTAAAAACATGATAGAGTGCTCTGAGAATAGTAAGAACTGATAGCCAACATGATTTACAGAAATTTACGGCTATGTAGCAATGGTTCAGAGACAATCTCTAGAAAATATGGAGGTACTCTTCATGATAGGAAGGATTGGTTTTGCAGGGCAGCTTTGAAGTTCATTTCTGATTATCTTTAAATAACCACTCTACCCTTGTTCCTTGATCTCACCCTTTGCTAAAATTTTATAAATATATTCCAGACACACTGCATGCAAAAAGGGAAGTACAAGAATATTAAGATTCTCATGCCCTGGACATGAATAGAAAACATGTATATAATGTGTTCTCACTGTCAGAACAACCCATTGAAGTGTAAAGCTGGAAACCCCACAGTAGAGAGATATACACTTTTAATCCAAAGGAAAAAAAAAAAAAGTGAGGCCTGTTACTTGACTACAGTTTCCAGGGCTCTGGTGTAGCTATATTTTAGGCATAGCTCCAAGGAGCAGCCTACACAAATTTGGATGGAGCGAGGGAGGCACAGATGGTGGTCACGTGAAGGCACAGACCGATCGAGTGGGCTCGGCTACAAAGTCTGTACATTTAGGCTGCTGTATTCCTCCTATTTCAAGTACTGCCAAGTCCCAGCTCTTTCCCGTCTTTCCAAAGTCTTGATTCATTTAATTCTCCTGAAGGAGGTGGAAGAGGAGGAGGGTTGCGCAAATCTTACTCTTTCATGGTTTAGAGGAGACAGTCACCATCTTGGCGCCTTGTCAGATTTTAAATGTAACATTTTGCTAAGTGTAAAGCTGTGTATCTGTTCCTTTTCTGTTGCCATTATTGTAACTTCAATATTTGCAAAACACAACATCAAAATACTTCAAATCTAGCCCAAAGCAGTTATTCAGGCAACACAATTCTTACACTTATCAATATACAGCGAGCTCATAGCAAAGAAATCTTTTCTTTCTTTCTTTTCTGCTTAGTTCTTTCTATTCACTTATGACTTTTTTTTCTCTTTGGGACATAAGAATGATTTAATCATACCACAGTAATATCCCCATTTTATATATATATAGTATACATATACTATTATATGGTTATACTATTATAGCGCTTATTACAATGTCAGCTCTTACAGGTTGCATTATTTAGAAAAAGGAAGCACAGAAGCTAAAATGATTCTACCATTTGAAATACCCTGTGAATCACTGGTAAAGCCTAGAGCACCTTAAGGATATACAGAGTCTTAATTTTTAAATATAAAAACTTGCAGTGTTCACTATAAAATGTTGTTCCTAAAGAAATTCAGGATGCGCTTTCCGTGGTGCCTAATTCACGGTTACTAGCATTAAAGTGCTACTTTCTTACTCTTCAAAGATTCTCAGTTATTTTCTTCTTTGTGTAGGAAACTCTATCAAAAATCAAAACGGATTCAGTTACTGGCTTTTTTTTTTTTTTAAACAGGACACAAGGTATTTTACAGGTCCTCATCATTCTTCTTGGTATTCTGTTGGTGTAACTTTTGTGTGTGATCAGTTCTGCTCCGGAGACTTGTCCACTAAGCTCTCCAATGTGTCTTTTTGGCTGGAGCTAATGTGTAGGAAGGCCATTTTTAAAGCAAATCAAAACATTCAAAGGTTTAACATCTGTTAATCGGGTGTTTTATCTAGAGGACATAAAAGATATTTACAATCCTCTAGCTTACTGACTTAACGCTTTCCTTTATACTGGATATTTATATTGTGTAGAAATGGACATCGTTATCACAATCCATGGAATTATTCCACTTTCTTCTAAAACAAACAAGAAAATGTTTTCCTTTTAGGTTAGAATTTCTTGATTAGTAAAGTATATCAATAGCAATGCAGAGAGGCGAATTGAACTCAATTATTATCTTAATTTCTGCTTTCAACAAAGCATACTGATAAAGAAAGTTCTTGATACTATTTACGTTTCATGAATTTCCATTTTTAGGTCTTTCCTTAAAATATGGATAGTTCAGAATTTAAAAATAACAATAGTCACAGAGGGAAGTCTCCCCACCTTGGGGCATTTGTAATTTAAACCACAGTCACTTAACAACAAAACAACTAAAACTACCCTCCAATTCAAGGCCATATTGCTCAAATAAGAACTTCAGAATATTATTTTGATTTTGTAGGTTGACTAAGCATACGAATTAATAATAGGATTATGTATCAAATACAGTTTCATGAATGGAACACAGCATTACCCAATCTTCCTCAGACATAGGTTGGTTGCCAAGAGAGATACTTTTCAACATATCACAAATGTGCTATTTGTATAAACACTTCCCATTACGAATGCTCTTGTTTTTGTTTAAATGAGTGTTTTTAACCCGAGCTATTAATCACATTTTTTTTTTTCCTTGTGGTGCTTGGCTTTCAGAAGAGAGAATCTTCAGCCCTCTGCTCTTGTGAGAGTAATTTCTCTTAACACCGACAGTGTAGCGTAAGTACAGCCAGAGCTCATTAAATAGACTTCTGAGCATAATTATAATTAACAATTAGCTAGAAATTAGTTTTAATGATTTGTTTTAGATGATAGAATAGAAGCATAATGTAATTATTTTTAAACCTTCTACATCATTAAGAATACAACTACCACCACCTTTCAATTATTGAGAGGCAATCATCTAAAGCATTTAGCAAGTGATCTACTTACAGAGCCAAGCTAAGGGAGCTGAAGAGAAGGGCCGCCGCCCCAACCCAGGTGTTTATAATTATCTAGCCTTTTGCAAAGCCTCTTCTGTTTCTATTCTGCTCTTTAAGCTATTTCATGCCTTGAAGACGTCTCTACCAGGGAAAATAAAGAGACTCAGCTCTTCCCCCACCTCCTGCCTGTCTCCAAGACAGTGTGGCGCTGATGACTAGAGGTGGGAAGGACCAGAGGAAGATGCCACAAAATTTAGCAACTGGGCCTGAAATTCACCATTCACACCATCAAACTGGACTAACAGGAAAGAAGATTATGTAAGTAATGGATAAAATGAGTAATATGAATTAACGCCAGACTGTAAAGATAGAGCTATGCCATTCTTTCCTTGTTCAGTGTTCTGTTAACTTTTAATATTCCAAAATCAGTTTGGATTTTGCTTTCTCTTGAAGAATGTTAAAGAAAAATACAATAGAAACCTGAAGAAATGCTATTTTATAAAAATATAAAAATATTCATTTAGAAGAGTGACTATTATTTGTTGTCAATGTTTTTTCCTTTCTTTGTTTAAAAATTTGTTTTTGTTTAACCTTGGCTACTCCATGTGCTATTTTTCTCTCGCAGCTTTGAGCAAGAATGTCAGATCTTTTGCTGGGGACCCTCGGAAGCCGTGAGGGAGCGCATCCTGACACCCACATAGAAGACCTGGTACCTATGTTTCCACATCACAAAGCAGGCCAACAAGCACACAAGGCCGCAGACCAAATTAAGAATCATCTGGATGAGTAAGAACAGTTTGAAAGTGCCAGTGACGCTGGTACAGTCCGTCACATCCCGGTAAACAAAGGTCCTGCTGAGCGGCTCCGAGGAGGGCAGTTTGCACTGGCAAGAGTCGAGTGTGGTCTCACAGGTAAACTGTGTGAGCTGCGAATAGTGGTGGGCAGCAAAGGCCACGGCCAGCACACAGACTGTCAGGCCCAGGGCACTCAGCAGAAAGTATAACAGCTGCAAGAAAGCAGAAGAAAGCCTTTCTGGTTACAAAGAACATTGGATGATGATTTGCAAAGCTAATTCATCAAAACTATTCTTTTTCTTCTCTCCCAGAAATTTGCTGATGGAAAGGCTGTCTCTTCTTAGAAACACAGCACCTAAGACACGGAAATAGTTCCATGTTTATTTATTAGCAGGTAGTTCTTAAACCCTGATCACATTTTCACTTGCCATCCAGATGTTGGGCCCTTTTCAAGAGTTATGACAACCATATTAGCTGTATTGTGGGATGTTTTTGTCTAGATATTGCCACAGTTTAGATGAATCCCAAACAAGCTAGCCATCCCTGGATGACATGTTGTGCTTATTTTGAACTCAGGAACTTCTGATATTAAGGCTGAAACAAGACTAGGAAGTAAAGAACAGGCTTCTGTAATACAAACACTGTGTGGGCCAAAATTAGCAATGATGGGTCAACTAATAGAATAGGTTCATTTTTTAAAAGACTATATTCAATGTAGTGATTGCCAAACTGTATCCATAAACATGAGAATCCCCAGCAAGAGGTTGCTGGGAGAAAACAAATTATGGCTCCAGAAGTCAAGTAACTTGATGTCAGCTTCACTGCCTGTGAAACGTACCCCAAGCCCAACAATGACCATGTGATTCCTGAGCATGAAAATCCACTTCTAAATGGTTCCGCAGTCACCAAGGTTTTGAACTCTGTTGGCCTCCAGGTTAACTTTTGGATTGAAAAAGGCTGGTTAAAGTTCTCACTCTGCTGCTAAAGGGCTGTGAGAACTCTGAATAATTTAGAGGTTTAGCTTGCACCTGAAACATTCTGAGCAAAACTTGTGGGTGTTCACTGACATGGCCACAATAAAATCTATGGAACAAGAAATATTTTTGTGATTGAACTCACCTGCTAGAAATGTTGCTCTTAATGGTCCACCTGCTGAGATTCTAGGTAAGGCTCAGAGTCCCCAGTTTTTGAGACTAGCATACATAGTTCTTAGTGCAAGAATTATATTACCACAGTCAAAATTTGCTCTCCACAGAGAACAATTCTGGTGAATGGCCTCTTCACAAAGTAATATTAGTTCCAGCCATTTCCAGGTTCAGATGAAAGTAGCTCTGAAAGGATGATGCCCTTCCCCCACCTTCCCTTATATATAATTCAAAATTAAAACATACATGTGACACTGTAAAATATGTGTACAAAAGTCCTCCAAATGAGTGTTTTCCACACAGTGATGATTTCAAGTGTTTTCAAGTCTTAAATTTGGAATTCTGTATTTACATTTTTACTTCTTCTCTTTCTTGAGTGGTATGTGTGCATGTATGTGTGAGTGTGGGTGCACATACTGGTTGCTGGTGCCCTAAGCTTATGTCTGGTTTGCCTGTAAGGGAATCCATCAGGGATTACATACAGCTTGACTGTATACCTAAGGTCACTGGAAGAGAGTAGAATTAGTTAAAGCCATTTATTTTCTTAATACTTCTTAATTAGTATCATGGATTCTTTAGATCTTTTCATCAAAGAGATCTTAAACACACATTCTTTTTCCTTTTCAAATCATTTAAAGGATTGTCAGATGTAACCTAAGTATCTTCATCTGTGAAACAGTTTATAGAAACATCTTATATCTCAGGGACATAACAAGGATTATACTTAATATTAGTGTTCCTTGGAGGAAGAGAACCAGATAAATACAAAGTGGCACCATCATAAAACTTTTTTTTTTTTTAAGAGATGGAGTCTTGCTATGTTGCCCAGGCTGGTCTCAAACTCCAAGTCTCAAGTGATCCTCCCACCTCAGCCTCCCAAAGTATTGAGATTAGAGCTGTGAACCACTTCGTCTGGACCTCAATATTTTCAGTGACTATACTTTATGCAAAAATTGGAATTTTTAGCCTAAAAATATGGATTTATTTTGTAGGACCAATGGAGCAGAATATTTGAACAATTCTGGGTTCTGAAATATTCAGGCTTGATTACTGACTTCAAACTCTTGGTGCCAAGAGCCAAATTAAACTGTCTTGACCACGCTCTGTGTGTGTGTGTGTGTGTGTGTGTGTGTGTGTGTGTATGTGTGTACCCATTGTAGCTGTGTTCCCAGTACAGCCAGCAGAGAACTGGGAACAGTTTGCTCTGGGAACAATGGTATATCTATGACTTTACTAGCAGGGAAGGCCCAGGTTAAAGTGATCATTTCCCACCTAGTAGTCATCTGCTTAGTAGAATGGCCCCAAATGGAGTTTTCTCTACTTGTTTTATCGCCATCAGTGGATGGAAGTGGGGGGTAGGGTTCTTGTGATAACCTTCCTACCTCTAACATACATACATCCTTAGATAGCAATTTCTTCTCCTCCTTCTTCTTCTTCTTCTTCTTCTTCTTCTTCTTCTTCTTCTTCTTCTTCTTCTTCTTCTTCTTCTTCTTCTTCTTCCTCTTCCTCTTCCTCTTCTTCTTCTTTGAGACAGAGTACAGTGGCTTGATTTCAGCTCACTGCAACTTCTGCCTCCTGGGTTCAAGCAATTCTCGTGCCTCAGCCTCCTGAGTAACTGGGACTACAGGTGCGTGCCACCGCACCCAACTAATTTTTGTATTTTTTTGGTAGAGACAGGGTTTCACCATATTGCCCAGGCTGGTCTCGAACTCCTGACCTCAAGTGATCCTCCTGACTCAGCCGCCCAAAGTGCTGAGATTACAGGCGTGAGCCACTGCATCCAGCTCCTTAGATAGCAACTTTCTGTAACATTTGTTGGGGCAATATCTTGAAGCAATGACAATAATCCCTCATTCTCAATCTGCAAATAATTCAAATAGTTGAAAAATATTTTATTCATGATAGTCACAAAAATCCATTTGCTGAAAATGGGAATTTTGTCTATTTTAAAAGATGACTTTTTGGCTTAGAGATTAAAAGATGTGCCCAAGACCATTTAACATGTGTGCAGCAGTACTGGCTGATGATTAACAGCCTGAACCAGGGAGTCAGGTTGCCTGGGTCGGTATCCTGGTTCTCCCCTCACTAGCCATGGTCCTTGGGCAAATTCATCAATCCCTGTGCACCTGTATTTCTTCATCTGTAAACCTGGCATGATCATAATAGCGCCTACTTCACAGGATAATTACAAGGATCAAAAGAGTTGATGTCTGTAAAGAGCTTAGAACAGCGTCTGGTATACAGGAGCACTATTTAAGTATTTGTGAAATAATAAGCAAATTAGTAGGGATGGAAAGAGCTGCCAGTTCTCAGGACTGAGGATATTAATTCGACTGCCTTTGTCTCATTTTGTCATGTGGGAGTAACAACGCATTCTTGGCTTGTAGGAAGGATGTAAACATTTACACAAACACAGTGGTTGCTCAATTTTAATTGAACCGTTTATGCTAGAACCCAAGGAGAACACAAAGAAAAACCATGCCCCTTAGCTTCCCTGAGTATGAATAAATTTACATCGTGCATATCTATCTCACACATAATGACTCGGCTTCTCCCAGTCGGGAAAGCATCAGGCCAAGTAAACTAGAAGCCACGGAATCAAGTTTCTTATCCATTTTAAGACATAAATACATACTCGATCCCCCCTAAAGCCTGCGGGCTGCATCTGCAGCGCTGTGGCATTCTTCCTTCATGGCTTTTAACTCATCTGACAGCAACAAGCTTCTGGGTTAGAATCTGTAATTTAAAATCAAGTGGCTTGTTTCACCTACACGACACGAATAAACTATAAGGAAGAGTGTTTACGATGACCTTGGGAATCCGAGCAAATACATCTTGATAAAAGCCCGGCGCCCGAGGCGTCTGTCTTGCGGGTGTCAGCCCATCAGCCTGGCGCTGCGCAGCGGGCGGAGGCGCGGTGGCCCCGGGCGCTTATGTAACAGCAGCGCCCGGGCGCGTCTCCGCTCGCTCGCTGCCTTTAATTGGTACCCGGCCTGCAGCTTTCACGTTCGGTGACCTCGGGAGGAGGGTGTTTCTGCTCCAATTTAATTACCTTCCCCGGTGGCCTGAACGGGAAGGGCCCCTCTGCAGCGCACCGCTTGGGAGGAGGCTGCCGCAGCAGCTCAGGGCCTCCTGGATGTGGACAGGAGGGAACGTGCCCCGGAATGTTTCCGCAGGCACATGCCCCCGACACGTTTCGGAACCTCCAGGGGAGCCCTGAGAAAGTCAGGCCACTGGGAAAGGCAGGAAGCGTGACCTGCGGCCGATGCCCAGCCAAGACCAGAGGCAGAGCCCAGGGAGGAAGAAGGAAAGCGCTGGTGGCATCGAGGGCCTGCGAAAGGACCCCACCCCCAGTTCCCGACCCCCCAGAGGACTGTCTCAGCTTGAGAAAAAAAAAAAAAAAGAGCCCGTGACTATTGTCTGTAAGAGAAAGGGAGGGTGCGTGTGTGTGCACACGTGCTGACTACAATGAGACTGTCATCATGGCCTGTTTGCTTGTCCTGGCTATCTGTGCATTCAACAGGAGGAAATAAATCCTCAAACAAAGCTTAGGCCAGGGTCCAGAGATGGGGGCACCAAAACGCGGCTATGCGGATGAGAAACGCCCTATGAAGATGCATGTTATGCCTCCGTCCCCCCAGTAGTGTGAGAAGCATAAGGGAAGTCAGCTGTCCCCTGTTGTGTCATTGGAAAATCTGGAGATGGGCTGAAGCTCACTTTCAAACTGAAGATAATGTAGCATGCAACCTTAGAGAGCTAGCAGCAAGCATCAAGAAAGGTCATGTTCAGGAGAAGAGAAAAGTGCCTCAGTATTTGTCAATGCCTGTCACGGGTGGAAAAAAGAGGCAGCTAATAGATCTTCCTAGTGGGGAATCCTCAACCTGGCTGACATTGGCAGTGATTTTTTTTTCTATTTTTTTTTTCTCTTACTCCCTATTTTAACTAAGGTGCAGATGTTGAGATGGTATTGGGGCCTCTCTCAAGCTGATGCTTTTGCCTCTGCTGTTTTCTGGGATCATCTCGGGGGAAAATGAAGGCATTTCACATAAACTAATAAAAACCTAGTTTGAGGTGTTCTTCAGCCACTGGATGAAGTTCTTGTAATTTAACAGGCCATTTCTTACTAAGCTTTCTGGCTTCATTTTTTTTCTTTATTTTTTTAAATCACCAAGCCTTGCTGTTTAGTCAAACCTCTACAAAAAAATAGTAAACATAGACTGATGTCTACGCTATCTGGCCTTCTTTCAAGGAAAGTCCTCAGACAGAAAAGTATAATTTCCAAATGAAGGCATATCCACCAAAATTCTAACTTCATCATTTAAAAAAGTAGTATCTATTAATTTTTTACCTAGAAAAGTTACAACTATTGGAGAACATTTCAAAATTAGAGAAAAACTGAAAAATGCACATACAATCCCACCACTGATAGATAATTGTATTTTCTATGCTCATTAAGAGCTTTTATTTTTTCTGTAAGATAATGTCATATATTTTGTGTAATCAGCTTTTAAAAATTAGTTATTATAATGTAAACTTTTGTATTCTATTAATTACTTTTTATAGCATGATTTTAAAAGATATCATCCCATTGCTTTTTTATGTCAACAGCTTCAATTATACTGGAATCTTCCAACACATCTTATTTTTTTCACCTTAGTCACTTCCAAATAATGTCATTCACTTACTTTTATGTCTGATGTTTTCTCATTGTAGTGAACAAAAAAATCCAGTTTTTATACGTTTTCTTGTAGAAGAAAAAACAAGTCAGTGGACAAAATTTAAAAAAAAAAGATTAAAGAAAGCTTTGTATTCTTTGCTACAGTGGTTGAGAGAAAATGTAGGAATTTGCTTTCTACTAGCTCTGATTGCTAAGTTCTGTGTCTATGTCCTCATACTCTGAAAGCGAATGTCTTTGCTTCCCTTTGGGGTAGATTCTGTTGTGCAGTGAAAGTGCTGTGTACTTGAATTGGCTCCAGCCAAATGCACTGTCCCTAACAGAAAAAAGATACACACAAATGAAAGACACACATGCTTGCCAAACCACGCATATCCCATCGCCTGTCCCCCACTTTGCCCTGAGAGTCTTGGCACAGAGCATTTGGATGCACCCAATGTACTTTTTCTGTCCCAGTGATCCCACCTACAAGAGGAAATACACTTAGACTGCTTCATTATTAAAATATCCCAAATAACCCCCGAGATATGGAAGTGGGCACTGAAAGAGACACTTTTTTCTGGCCAAGTGTTTTGTTGAACTGATGAATTTTCAATATTCCTTTTAAGGGCATTGAAGGACAGACTTCATATCCTCCAGGCCAACCCAGTTCATGGAAATTAAGACTTAAAAAACAAAATCAGCATTACCTTTGAGGTCTGGATCAATGCCCTCTTAAAACATTTTTTGGCGTGCCTAAAAATGCAATTTCTAGACTAATCAGATATGCAACCCCTTCAGAAGGCACTCCCTTATTTTGTACTTGGGTTTCTTTCTATGTGATGATAAAAGAGAAAGAACAATCACAACTTACTTTCATAGAAAACTGAATACATGTCCGTTCGTCAACCTGATATGAGACACAAAGCATAAACAAGCCAAGATAGGCCACTAAGCAGACCTGCAATGGAGAACACAGAAGAAAGGATGTTATCAGGGCACGTTGTGCGTTCAAATGACATCAGTCTCGGCGTCTTGCCCCAGTCACATCCATGTTATAAAGCTGTTCATTTCATTTACTTATCTTTATGCACTGTGTTTTTCTTTCAACTGTTGGAAAACCACTTTCAAATTAGTAAAATCAATTGATTTCCACTTAGCCAGCATTTACTAAGTTCTTTTGATATGCCAGGTACTATACAAAATCCTTCAGAGTATGTGATGAGGAATAAAGTTTACTCAGTGTTCATCAGTTTACAATCCAGTGAAAGCCAAAATAAATGCACACCATATTCTAAGGCAGGACATTTCACGTTAAATATTATTCAAAGAAGTACAAAAAGAGGAAGAAATTACATTGAGTTGGGCGATATAAAAGGCTTCCATTAAGACATGGATTTGAAATGGTCCTTGAAAGAAATGAAACATGATTACTAACATTAGCTGAATATTTACTACATGCTGGGGCTCTTCTAAGGGCTTTGTATTGTATTCCTCCTATAATTGCTTTATATTGTATGCCCTCCTGTAATTGCTACAAAATCCTATAAGGTAGGTGATACTATGATTCTCATATTGTAAGTGAGAAAGAAAAGGCACAAAGCCTTTTCTTTGGAACCAGGATTCAAATCAGGTAGCTTGGGATAAAGCAGCACCATAAGCAATAGCACAGAGGAAGAGCCGCACAGAGAATGTGTTGAAAGAACAGCAAATGCACACCCATAGTTTAAAATAACGACATATAGGCTGGGTGTGGTGCCTCAGGCCTGTCATCCCAGCACTTTGGGGGGCTGAGGCGAGTGGATCACCTGAGCTCAGGAGTTTGAGACCAGCCTGGCCAACATGGTGAAACCCTGTCTCTACTGAAAATACAAAAATTAGCCGGGCGTGGTGGTGTACACCTGTAATCCCAGGTACTGGGGAGACTGAGGCAGAAGAATCGCTTGAACCTGGGAAGCAGAGATTGCAGTGAGCTGAGACTGTACCATTGCACACCAGTCTGGGCAACAAGAGTGAAACTCCATCTCAAAAAAAACAAAACAAAAAAAAATATAGAGCACAAAGGGTAGGATGAAAATCTGGGGACACAGGATTGATTTAGTATGTAGTGGCACTCCCTTGAAAATTTCTGAGAAGAGAATGACATGATTTGAGAGACACATTTCAGGAAAATTAGCAGTGATGTTGGGTGGGTCGGCAGTGAGAACATCAGGGTATTATTTTACTAACCTGAGCAAGATCAACATATCAGGTGAACCAGAGCTCAGATAGTAGCATGCAAATTCAGAAAAAGAGATGGAGATGACAGGCACAGTAAAAGCTGAATCTATACATCTTGGCTATTGCATAACTGATGGGAGGACCTGGAGAGGGAGAAACCGGAAGTGACCTCCACGCTTTGGAGCATCAGTGACAAAAAGACGGTGGACGTGCCTACTGAAAGAAGGCTGGCCAGAGAAACAGCAGCTTTGAGGGAAAATACACTCAATCTGTTCGTTAAACTGCATTTTCTTTTTCATGAACTAGACTTTTTAGAACTAGGATTTAGAGTTTCTAATCAAAGCATATCTATTCACATTGAATTTTGGAAAGCTTAAAACATTGATAAATTTCCACACTTTTAAAATAGAAAATATAAGCGACAGAATTGCATTTCCTGATAAGCACAATTATCCTAGAGACAGATGTTGAAAGAGTGGCTGAGAGTCACCTAGCAAGTCATTAAACAACTGGTTTGCACATACTCATACTTCCTACCCCAGGGTCAGCTTCAAACCATAGGCAGTGTCTGTTAGGGTGGAGAAATCATTTGCAAAGCCAACATGGCATTTTCAGGTAAAACTTCTATCCTCTTCTCCCTTTGGTTACACAATCAATAAGCTACCTATGCCCTCATCCATTGCCAAGTTGTAGGTTGTTCAGATTTCTATTGGACCATGAAGTCAAAAGCCAAGCCTTCTCTTACTACAGACTGTTTCCAGGGTTTTCCATCATTGAATGGAAATGGTTGCTTGGCTTAATAGCAGGATATAATATTTGCAGTGGAGAGACACAGCATTAAAACATGTGAGCATGGCATGGACTGGAGAGATCTGGAGAGAAAACAAAACAGATAGGACCCAGGGAGGCAGCTTTTCAGCAGAAGACTTGCAGATACAAAAGTAAAGATACTGAAGTTATTCGTATAGCCCCTAACATGGCTTTTTCAAGTCAGGATGAAGCTCTTTTGTAAAGTTTATTTGTAAAAAATACTAAATTGAAGGATAAGTTTGATAAGAACTGTAGGGGTTTACTATTTATTCTCACATTAAGAATTTACAAAACTTGAAACAATCAAAGAAAGACCTACTTTTTGTTTATTGGTGACACACCAGATTGAGGGTTGTAATCCTGCTTATATCCCTAGACACATGCCTGTGAGTTTCTGACTGCAGGTGCAAAGGGTCAGGCTCTCCCACATAACTGCCTTCTTCCCTAGAGACTACCAGCTGAAGTTGGCAATCACCAAGACTTTCCTCTTTGTCTTCATAAGAGACACATTCCAGTAATAAGGCCTAACTAGCACCTTAAAAATCTGATTCAGTGCCTTGAACAAAATTTCTGATTTCAGCAGTAGCTACTTCTTTGTAGCCTTCATTTACCCTGGCTTCCAGAAAGAAGTTGCATAGGAACACATGACCTCATTCTAGAGCATTTCACTTATTCAAGTCACAGAATTTTATGGAGGACATACAATAAGCAGGCCCTGTGTTATTGTATGATCCTGGGAAATGAGAGATGGAAAAACAGGCCCTAACACCAAGGACTATCCAGCATTTAAGGATCTCCCAGTCCAGTGAGAAAAGACAGGATAATGCAGTTGGGCTATTGTAAAAGTACTAGGACTACATCTGCTATAGGAATACCCAGAAGGAATAACTACCCCGATGGAAACTTGGGGAGACTTCCTGGAGAAAGATGAGTTTTGAGGATATGCAGAAAGTGGCTAGGAGAGTGTGAGGAAAGGTATTCTGTGCAGAGAGTAATAGAGGTGCAAAGGCACGAAGAAAGGCAGAGTAAACATTTGAGGATTCCTCTAGGTCCAGTGCAGAGAAAAAAATAAAAGGCAAAAGACGTGTTTGCAGCAATGGACAGGAAGTAGATCACAAAGGACTTTGATTTCAACTAGGACATTTTCTTTTTTTCTTTTTTTATTTATTTTTATTTTTCATTTATTTTTTATTAATATTATACTTTAAGTTCTAGGGTACATGTGCATAACGTGCAGGTTTGTAACATATGTATGCTTGTGCCATGTTGCTGTGCTGCACCCATCAACTCGTCAGCACCCATCAACTCATCATTTACATCAGGTATAACTCCCAATGCAATCCCTCCTCCCTCCCCCTCCCCATGATAGGCCCCGGTGTGTGATGTTCCCCTTCCCGAGTCCAAGTGATCTCATTGTTCAGTTCCCACCTATGAGTGAGAACATGTGGTGTTTGGTTTTCTGTTCTTGTGATAGTTTGCTAAGAATGATGGTTTCCAGCTGCATCCATGTCCCTACAAAGGACACAAACTCATCCTTTTTTATGGCTGCATAGTATTCCATGGTGTATATGTGCCACATTTTCTTAATCCAGTCCTACAGAATGGGAGAAAATTTTTGCAATCTACTCATCTGACAAAGGGCTAATATCCAGAACCTACAAAGAACTCAAACAAATTTACAAGAAAAAAACAAACAACCCCATCAAAAAGTGGGCAAAGGATATGAACAGACATTTCTCAACTAGGACATTTTCAGCAGCAGAAGGGTGTGACTGACTTTGCCTTTTAGAATGGTCCTTCTGGCTATGAAGAATGGATTGCATGGGGGCAATTCTTGGGAAGAGAAGACCACCTAGAGGCCATTCTTCACCTGAGAAATGATGAGTGTCTGAGCTCAGGTAGAAGTAATGATAGGGAGTGGGTGTGTTTGAATGACAGTAAAAAAACTGAATCCACAGGTTCTAAAGACTGATTAAGGTAAAGATGTAAGAGCTGAGGAGAGGGAGAGGTCAGGAAGGTGCTGCCAGGTGGGTGGTGTGGACATTTAATGAGATAAGATAGAAAAGGAGGGGCAGAATGGGAGTGGGAATGATGATCCCACATGGACACAAAGTGCAGCCATATGGGCTTAGAGCTCAGGAACGAGACCTGGGCTGGAGACAAAGATTTGTTAGTCATCACCATATGTGAAGCAATTGACACCACAGGAAACAGTGGCCCATCCAGAGAGAGTCTGAAAACAGAAAAGGGTCCAGTTAGTTACCCAGTTATGAAGAATCTTTGAATTTTTTGAACAGAAAGCATCTCAGGTATATTTCTTATAATTGTAGCTCTATGTCATGTCATATCTAAAAATTACGAAATGGATTGTCCTTTTAGATTTGTCCTTTTAGATTTTTGAAAGCTTCAATTTAGGTTCTTGTACAGGGTATTTGCTATAAAGCTTAAATGTATTGAACATATTTTAATTTCTTGGCCTTCTGATAGGGCTTCATATGGTCTAAGGTGAGAGGGGACTTTCATTTTTTTTACCTACAGCTTTGCATGTTATAACAAGACTTCTTTATCAGAGAGTTTATTGATGTTCAGTGTAAGCATGTTTTAGAAGGGTAGGCTTTACTGATACTGAACTAAAGGTTTTCTGGCCATGGAGAGAAAACCAGATTTCTCATGCTAGACTAAGGGTTTTGTTTCCTGAGCTGGCAGGATGTGGACGTGCCAGGAAGACACGGCATTCTGGCTTCCCAGCAAGGAAGGGGGAGCTCATGTTAGTGGGCAGTGAGACCCGCCAGGCCTATCTGGAACGACATTCGTAGAGTCCAGGCCAGAGCTCCCATTAGATATGGTGAGGTGAAGCCCACGGCACAGGAAGAAGGCAGTTATGTAAGGATTTCAAGAAGGCGCTTGTTGGACCAGACACCCAGATGGCGG